CGAGGCGGCCGCGAGGCGCCCACGTGCGCCCACAGGGCGAAATCTCGGAACACCCAGCCGGCGCACGAGGCGCCCACGAAGAGCTTACGGGCGCCTATTGTGCGAAAGCCCAGAACACCCAGTCACAATGGCAGTCAGAACACCTTCGCGCCAGCATTGCCCGTGGGCATGGTTATGATCATTCATAGTCGTGCCCGCGATGAGTACTGTACGTAGCCACTTTTGTTCGGAGAGGTTGTGGTCTCTGATAAACGACTTGTGGGTGCCTTTGCATTTGGGTCGCGTGCGTTTGGTTGTAGCAACATCTCGGGATGGTAGTGAACAGATGGTTTTTGGCAGCGGCTGTCTGCTGGTGCATGTTTGCCAACCACTATGCACGAGATGTCACAGGTACGATGGAGCGGGAGATTGAAGTTGAGCTCCACATCTCGTCCGAGAAATTTCAGCTCTTGAACTCAGTATCGAAGACGCCTACGGCGAATCACCGCCGCCCCCTGCCTTTGTGGAAGCGCCTATGTGGCCGAACGTTGAGGCCAGACCTGCCAAGCCATCGGACCATGTGTTCCCCGAATCGGTTTGGAAAGCCTTCGGGGAACACGTGGGCGTCTTGATGGTCATCGTCGTCGTCTTGGAGGCCTCTTGGGCGATCTTTCGGCGATCTTTGGGGGCTCTTGGGCCGTCTCGGGCCGTCGGAAGGCCGAAAGAAGGGAAATGCCCAAATCCATCAAAAACCTTGGGAAAATCAGTGATTTTGGCATCTTTTGGCCTTCCTGGAGGCCCTCTTGGGGGCCTCTTGGGCCCTTTTGGGCCAGCTTCGAGCCAACTTCGGCCATCTTGGTGGGTTCCTGGCACGTCTGACGCCGTCGGGAGCCGTTTTGGGGGCCTGTCTGGGCCAACGGGGGACCCTCTTGGGGCGCTCCAGGGCCGTCTTGGAGGCCATCTTGGGCGTCTTGGAGGCCATCTTGGGCGTGTTGGAGGCCTCTTGGGCCGTCTTGGGGCCCTCTAGGGGCCATCTTGGAGGCCACTTGGGCCATCAGGGGGCTCTCTTGGGGGCCTCTTGGGCGATCTTGGGGGCTTCTTGGGCCGTCTTGAGCCGTCGGAGAGCCGAAAAGGCGCAAATGCCAAAATCCTTCAAAAACCAATGGAAAATCAATGATTTTGCCCTCTTCGGACTCTCCTGGAGGACCTCTTGGAGGCCTCTTGGGCCGTCTGGGAGGCCTCTGGGGGGCCTCTTGGGCCGTCTTGGGCCGTCTTGGACTCTCTTGGGCCGTTTTGGAGGCCGTCTTGGACCATCTCGGGCGGACTTGGAGGCCATCTTGGGCCATCTTCGCGATTTTTTGAGGATGTCCCGAGCGAAACGGCCGTTTTTGCGCACGGTGGCGGGTTCTGCCGGAGCCCACTGGTGAGTTCTTTTGGAAAAAGAACCAAAACCAAAACCTAACAGCTCGTCCAGCACGCCGTGCACCCCTGCAAGCAGGGGGCGGCGGATCTATTTGCCTTCGGCATATCCCGCCACCGTACCTGGGTTGTGGATCAGATGCCTATTGAGTGTTCGTTCGGATCTCGCGGTAGGTCTCTCGGGGGCCTCTTCGAAGCAGGTTTGACGCCTCTTGGGAGCCGTTTTGGGGCCTTTGGGAGGCTGTTTTGGGCCTCTTGGGGGCCTCTTTGAGCCTTTGGGGGGCCTGTTTGGGGTTTCTGGGGGCCTCTTGGGGGCCTCTTGGGGCGTCCTGGGGGCGTGCGTCTTGGGGCCCAGGGCTCGAAATTTCCGTTCGCGTCCCCCTCGGGGCCCCCTCTTGGAGCCATATTGGGGGGTTTTTGTGCCGTCTTGGAGGCCTCTAGGGCCGTTTGGGGGCCCTGTTGGACCGTCGTGGGGGCCTCTTGGGCCGTCTTGGGGCGATCCTGGGGGCCTCTTGGGCCGTCTTGGTGCGTCCGGAAGCCGAAAGCGCGAAAACCCCCCGAACCTTCAAACTGATCCCGGCGTAGCAACCTAACAGCGATGTGTAGAAGCATATATGGAAGCATTCCCTTTAAGATTCAGATGAGAGTCCAGTTGTAGAATTCTGCTGTTCTCGCAGTCGCAGTCGCATTCGCGATGACAGTCGCAATGGCAAAGGCAGTCGCAGTCACAGCCTCAGCATCAGCCTGCCTCAGCCTCAGCCTGCCTCAGCCTCAGCCTCGGCCTACTTCAGCCTCAGCCTCAGCCTCCTTCAGCCTCAGCCTCAGTTTGCCTTCAGCCTCGGCCTCAGCCTCAGCCTGCCTCAGCCTCAGCCTGCATCAGCCTCAGCCTCAGCCTCAGCCTGCCTCAGCATCAGCCTGCCTCAGCGTGTGCAGCCTCAGTCTGCCTTCAGCCTCGGCCTCAGCTTCAGCCTCAGCCTCAGCCTCAGCCTGCATCAGCCTCAGCCTCAGCCTGCCTCAGCCTCAGCCTGCCTCAGCCTCAGCCTCTGCCTGCCTCAGCCTCAGCCTGCATCAGCCTCAGCCTCAGCCTCAGCCTCAGCCTGCATCAGCCTCAGCCTCAGCCTCAGACTCAGCCTCAGCCAGCCTCAGCATCAGCCTCAGCCTGCCTCATCGTCTGCCTCAGCCTCAGCCTCAGCCTCAGCCTCAGCCTCAGCCTGCCTCAGCCTCAGCCTGCCTCAGCCTCAGCCTCAGCCTCAGCCTCTGCTTGCCTCAGCCTCAGCCACAGCCTCAGCCTCAGCCTCAGCCTCAGCCTCAGCCTGCCTCAGCCTCAGCCTCAGTCTGCCTTCAGCCTCAGCATCGGCCACAGTCTGCCTTCAGCCTCGGCCTCAGCCTCAGCCTTGGCCTTAGCCTCAGCCTGCATCAGCCTCAGCCTCAGCTTGCCTCAGCATCAGCCTGCCTCAGCGTCTGCCTCAGCCTGCCTCAGCCTGCCTCAGCCTCAACCTCAGCCTCAGCCTCAGCCTGCCTCAGCCTCAGCCTGCCTCAGCCTCAGCCTCAGCCTGCCTCAGCCTCAGCCTCAGCCTTCTTCAGCCGCAGCCTCAGTCTGCATTCAGCCTCGGCCTCACTCTCAGCCTGCCTCAGCCTCAGCCTGCCTCAGCATCAGCCTGCCTCAGCGTCTGCCTCAGCGTCTGCCTCAGCCTGCCTCGCCTCAGCCTCAGCCTCAGCCTCAGCCTCAGCCTGCCTCAGCCTCAGCCTGCCTCAGCCTCAGCCTCGGCCTCAGCTTCAGCCTCAGCCTCAGGCTCAGGCTCAGGCTCAGCCTCAGCCTGCCTCAGCCTCAGCCTCAGCCTGCCTCAGCATCATCCTGCCTCAGCTTCAGCCTCAGCCTGCCTCAGCCTCAGCTTCAGCCTGCTTCAGCCTCAGCCTCAGTCTGCCTTCAGCCTCGGGCCTCAGCCTGCCGCAGCCTCAACCTCAGCCTCAGCCTCAGCCTCAGCCTGCCTCAGCATCAGCCTGCCTCAGCCTCAGCCTCAGCCTGCCTCAGCCTCAGCCCCAGCCTCAACCTCAGCCTCAGCCTCAGCCTGCCTCAGCCTGCCTCAGCCTCAGCCTGCCTCAGCCTCAGCCTCAGCCTGTCTCAGCCTCATCCTGCCTCAGCCTCAGCCTCAGCCTGCCTCAGCCTCAGCCTCAGCCTGTTTCAGCCTCAGCCTCAGTCTGCCGTCAGCCTCGGCCTCAGCCTCGGCCTGCATCGGCCTCAGCCTGCATCAGCCTCAGCCGCAGCCTCAGCCTGCCCCAGCATCAGCTTGCCTCAGCGTATGCCTCAGCCTGCCTCAGCATCAGCCTCAGCCTCAGCCCCAGCCCCAGCAATCCTCAGCATCAGCCTGTCTCAGCCTCAGCCTCAGCCTGCCTCAGCATCAGCCTGCCTCAGCCTCAGCCTCAGCCTGCCTCAGCCTGCCTCAGCCTGCTTCAGCCTCAGCCTCAGTCTGCCTTCAGTTTCGGCCTCAGCCTGCCTCAGCCTCAGCCTGCATCAGCCCCAGCCTCAGCCTCAGCCTGCCTCAGCCTCAGCATCAGCCTCAGCCTCGGCCTCAGCATGCCTCAGCCTCAGCCTGCCTCAGCCTCAGCCTCAGCCTGCCTCAGCATCAGCCTGCCTCAGCCTCAGCCTCAGCCTGCCTCAGCCTCAGCCTCAGCCTGCTTCAGCCTCAGCCTCAGTCTGCCTTCAGCCTCGGCCTCAGCCTTCAGCCTGCCTCAGCCTGCATCAGCCTCAGCCTCAGCCTCAGCCTGCCTCAGCATCAGCCTGCCTCAGCGTCTGCCTCAGCCTGCCTCAGGCTCAGCCTCAGCCTCAGCTTCATTTGAGCTCCCCCATATCAGGCGTGCACCCGCGGCACCCCCGACTGAGTTCCCCCATATCAGGCAAGCACCCGCGGCACCCGTCACTTGAGTTCCCCCATATCAGGCGTGGACCCGCGGCACCCCCGACTGAGTTCCGCGCGGGGGAGCCCAGGGGAACCGCCGAGAACCCCAGTAGATTTGGCACGAGAGGCTCCGAACCCCTTAAGAACTCCTCAGGAGTGACGACTGAGGCTTAGAGGGATAGTGAGAGGACCTGAGAACACGCCCATTCCGTCCCTCGAGGCACGGTGGCGGATATTTTGCTCCTAACTTGATAACGCCGCTTGTGTTCGGTGTGTTGTCGTAACGTTTTGGCGGCTCCAATATGTTGCTGATTGTGTACATCGTGGCCGCTGTTGGACATTGCCTCGTTGGTGCTGCGGGGCATTTACGTTCGTACTCGATGCTGCTGGCTGGGCGCACTGTTCTTGGCCTCACTTACGAATCTATTGATGTGGCGCCTTTCCCGATTCTGTCTCCTTTATTTGTCGAGGATTGGCCGCTTCTGGTTGGCTTTGTGAATGCAGGGTTAAGAATGGGATCCGTGGTGAGCTTCGTCCTTTCACCAATCATGTATGGTGTTGGTGGGTTGACCGCTGGATTGTGGACCTCGAGTCTGGTAGGTCTCAGCGGCTTCTTTGCAGCGGTCTCGCTGCGATACATGACAGGGACCCCCATAGCGGCGGATATCACAGAGGAAAACGACAGCGTGCGGCCCAGTCCAAGCC